GAAACACGCGGCACCAGCAAATGCCTGAGCCCAGCATGTGCTGCCGCAACCTTGGGTCCTGTCTGATCATAGACTGGGAATGAACTCCGTATGCTTAGACTGGGAATGAACTCCGTATGCCTAAGTCAACCCACGAAATGAGCGTGCGGGCGCTCAGCCAGCCAGAGGGGCGGGATGCGCAAGCCGAGGATCGATCGGGTCTCTCGCTGCGTGCTGCCGATCCTGCTACCACAACCCTCGGTCTGGTCTGATCTTAGACTGAGAATGAACTCCGTATGCCTAAGCCAACCGATCAAACGAGCGGGCGGGCACTACGCCGGCCAGAGAGGCAGGATGCGCAAGCCGTGGATCAATAGGGTGGTAGGTGGGTTTAGGCACATCTTCATGTTTCTGCCATGCCAATGCCATTTTTCTAGCTTGTAAATTCATACAATTGTCCTTTAAGCCTTCATGTGAAGTTTCATGGCAAGACGACTCGTTTTCTATTTTTCATGATTTTTGAAACTTTTTACGGTTCAGGATTTTTTAAAATTTTTTCAAAAGGAATTTTGGCCCCAAACTTGGTAGACGTGATCCTTGTATTTTTGTAGGCATGCACAAAAAAATTCAGCTAAAAACTCGAAATGTACAAGATTTTGTGAGTATTTGAAAAAAATGTCCTCATTTCAGACACTTTAATGGCTACTGGCAGCAAACCTGTAAAATCTCAAATGCTCTTTAAGGGGGTGTGAGTTCTCGAGGTTTGATGAGGGATAGGGGGCCAATATAAGGGCCAAGTACCAGCGCCCATCACACATCATGTGCGCACATCCCCCCCGGCCCCCCCGATCGCTGGAACCCTAATGCTGTTGGTCAGGTTCTCCGACGATGGTGTCCCGACGAAGAAAAATACGGCACCAACACATTCTCGAGCGCAGCATGTGCTGCCGCAACCCTCGATCCGATCCAATCTTAGACTGGGAAGGAACTTCGTATGTCGTAACGGTTTTGGGACCGTCAGACGTAAAGATGAGTTTAAAATCAAGAAAAATAAAAAGAGGGAGTCGCCACCAATCTTTGTTAGGGTGTGATTGGCCACCCAAAAGTTTATCTTTTGAATAAAACTATAAAAACGAGTTTGAAGTCTTATTAAAAAGATAAATTTTGGTCTGCGAAAAATCAGGTTAGGTCCGGGAGTCGGTTACGTGTGGGGAAGGATTAGCACCCCCACAATGCCCATAAATTGGTACCATTTAATTATGCGCTATTTTCGATATTGGATAAAAATGGTTTTAATTTGAAATTTAACATTAATTCCCTTCATTTAAAAAAAATTTGCTAAAATATTTATTTAGAAATATTGAGAAAATCTTTAAGTTAAAGAATTATCTTAAAATTCTCCATCGTCTAGGCAGAATTTAAAATAACTCTTTTCGCCTAAGATTTAACATAATAATCATTAAAATAAAATAACAATCTTTATAGGAAATAATTGTTAGTGACTCTCCAACATCTAGGCAGAGTACCAAGAATTATTTCTCTCGGAATGTTATTTTTTTATTTTATAATATCACAAAAAGAATTTTTTTTTAGTATTATTCCTTTTTTATTAAAAAATATTTTATCAGTAAATTAAAGAGAAAGTAATGCAATCAATTATTGATGATAACATGCTAACGTATATCATGCTAATGAATGTCATGTAAAATGAAATGCAATTTAAGAGTTGGATTCTTAAATATAATGAGACCACCCCGACTCTCCAACATCTAGGCAAATCTTAAGTGCGACTGTTTATATTTAAGATCCCAATTTTATTATACTTTTTATTTATTAATCTTATTATTAATACGAATTAAGAAATCGTGTGAAAAGACTTCACGAAGTAAAATTTCTTAAATACCCCATCATCTAGGCGGCATTCGGGAACAAATTGCTTCAAATAGAATTTTCACACGTGTCCTTAGGATTTTTTTAGGACTTTGGATTTCAAGGATTTTGGATTTCGGGGGGTTTTGGATTTAATGGATTTTGGATTTTTAGGGGTTTTAGAATCCTAGGATTAAGAAATAGTGCTTAAGGTTTCGTTTTTTTAAGAAAATACGAACATCTCTAAAAATCCCCAACATCTAGGCAGATTTTTTAAGCAAGTTCGATTTTAATAATTTTTGAAGATTAATTAAAAATTTCTTATGTTTATTTATGAAAAATAATTAACAATAATTCCCCAACATCTAGGCGGAATTATTGTTTTAGAAAAATATTTTTATTCCCTCCAACATCTAGGTAGGGAAGATTATTATTATTTTTTTAAAGCATTTTAATATATTTTTTATTATTATTTGTTCTTAATTTTATTATTATTAAAATGATTAAACATTTATTCTAACAAATTTATAAATTTATCATGCATAAATATAAAAATATATTTAAAATAACAAAAAATAATAATAATAAAAAATTAGAAAATTAAAAAAAAAAAATACTTTTTTTACCTGAACCAGACCGGTCAACGGTCCGATCAACGCTGGTCCGGCGGTCTGATCGGTTCGACGGTTGGATCGGCGGTTCGGGCGATCTGACCGATTCGGCGGTCGGATCGGTGGTCCGGGCAATCTGACCGGTTCAATCCGATCCACTGGCGGTTCGTATGAACCGGTTCAAGGCTGGCTGGAACGGGTCGTTGGGTCGGGTTACGTGGATCTCGGGTCGGGTTCGGGTCAACGCGCGGATCCTTCTTTGGTTAAAACGGCGTCGTTTTGGGTTTTATTAAAACGACGTCGTTTTGGCTATTGATAATTTATATAAAAGTCAAAAAAAAATTTCGTCATTTTTTTTTAATCTTTCAGAAAAAAAACAGCCTTCTCTCTTTTTTTTTCGTTTCCTTTTTTTTCTCTCTGGCCAACACAGGTGGCCGGCCGATCCTCCGTCACTGCTGTCGCCGGTCATCAGTCGTCGGTCGCCGTTGACAGTGGTCGAAAAATTCTTCGAAAACACCAAAATGTTCCCCTCGACCTCCTGAGTCCGGATTTGAGGTCCCTTTCACCAAAAGCGACCTTGATTCGCATAGATCAAGTTTTGAAGTTTTCGGTTTTTTTTCCCTTTTTTTTTTTTTGGTGAAACTAACGATTTCTTGGCTTTTGCAGATGGCTCGGTGCTGAGGTTCCTCACCGTAGGCGAGGACTGTGTATTTTTTTATTTTTGTTTCTGTTTTGTCTTTTTTTTTGTTTTGGTTTTTTTTTTACGTCGAAAATAGGGTCTGTCTGAGGGTGTTGAAGGGGAAGAATGGTTTTTTTTTTCGAGAGCTCAGATCCCCGGATTTTCGAAAATGGTTGGGGATTTTAAAGGGTTTCTACTTAGGGGGATCTAAGGCTGTAGGATTGTTAGTTGGTGGTTATAGGGTGGCTGGTCGGGTAGTTGGTTGGGTAATTGGTCGGGGCAGTTCGGCACCGTACCAACCCCTTGACTTCTGTCTTATTTTTGTTTTGTTTTTTTGTTTGTTGTTTTTTTTTTGTTTGTTTTTTTTTGTTTTGTTAAATATTATTATTATTAAAAATAAAATAAAATAAAATAGTAGACCCGGACAAACCGGTGTCTACAGCTGCCCCTCTTTACACATTACTGAGAATCAGGAATAGGGCAAAGACAAAGACAACGATTTTGTCCGAAAATAAATTATGTTATTTTTTGGTTTTACAGAAAAGGGCTCCTCTTAACAGAGGCTCAACAACTTTAAAAATCTCATCTGGAAAAAGCTCCTCTCAACAGAGGCTCCACAACTTTAAAAATCTCTTGAAAAAAGCTCCTCTCAATAGAGGCTCCACAACTTTAAAAATCTCATCTGGAAAAGCTCCTCTCAGCAGAGGCTCAACAACTTTAAAATCTCATCTGGAAAAAGCTCCTCTCAACAGAGGCTCCACAACTTTAAAATCTCATCTTGAAAAAAAAAGCTCCTCTCAGCAGAGGCTCCACAACTTTAAAAATTCTCTCTTGAAAAAAACTTCTCTTAGCAGAGGTTCCACAACTTTAAAAATCTCATCTGGAAAAGCTCCTCTCAACAGAGGCTCCATAACTTTAAAAATTCTCTCTTGAAAAAGCTCCTCTCAACAGAGGCTCGACAACTTTAAAATTCTCATCTTGGAAAAGCTCCTCTCAACAGAGGCTCAACAACTTTAAAAATTCTCATCTGAAAAAGCTCCTCTCAACAGAGGCTCCACAACTTTAAAATTTCTCATCTGTTTTCAAATTTGAGTTTTCATCTTTGAACAAGTAAATCTCTCTCTTTTGAATTCCTTTGTTTGATCATTGTCTTTACCAAAATCTTGTTTTTTCATTAAGAAAAGGAAAATTTCTATCTTTGTTACAACTTCTCATGGATGCATGTACTGAGTGCTCATGATGCAATGCATGTAATGCAATCAAAATCGTTCATTGTAGTAAAAAGGTTCTCGAAATCTCTCACTTTCGGCTTCTTTTATCCGAGTTCTTATATGACCAATCTGTCTTCAACATCTGACCATAATATTTTTTCTTCAAAAGTCTACAACATCAATGACTTGTCATGCTTTTCTCATCCTTTTTCATTTGCCTTTGTCAACTTTAAAAGTAATGCTGAGATCTTTCATGTTTGTTTTTCTTTTCATCATTTTAAGTTCAAGACAAATAAAATGCAATCACATTTCTCTGATGGACAAAAATATCAGATAAGGATAAAGGAAAGGATAGGCATTATTTTCAAATGAAGGATAATGTATTTCTTATGGCTGATAACAAGTGTATGTCAAAGTGTTTGAGTTGAAATAAAGGTGTCAAAAGAATGATCACAAGATAATCATGAACAAAATATTCTCAGATTCTTTCTCTAAAACTAAATCAGATGACTTCCTTGATTATTCAGAGTTCGTCAAACTACACTTGCCCCTGCATTGTGGGATCTTTTCTTGATGATGCTTTTGCTTCACATCTAAGCCGTCTTTTCAGGTTTTCAACTTAGATAAGTCATCATTTTTTTTCTCTTTTTTTTAAGCAAAATATTTCTTCACAACATCTGAATTTATTGGGGTAGGTAAATCACCTCCGTCCATTTCTGCCAAAATCAATGCCCCACCAGAAAAAGCCTTTTTCACCACATACGGGCCTTCCCAATTTGGTGTCCATTTCCCCCGATTATCATGTTGATTTGGAAGGAATCTTTTTAACACTAAGTCTCCTTCCCTAAAGCAACGGGGACGAGTTTTCTTGTCATGTGCTCTCATCATCCTCTTTTGATATAATTGACCATGACAAAGTGCTGACAGTCTTTTCTCTTCTATGAGGTTTAACTGCTCGTAGCAATTTCGAACCCATTCTGCTTCCTCTAACTCTACCTCCATCAGGACTCTCAGTGAGGGAATTTCCACTTTGACTGGTAGCACAGCTTCCATACCATATACCAAATAGAACGGTATGGCTCCAGTAGACGTTCTAACTGATGTTCTATAGGCATGCAAGGTAAAAGGTAACTTCCCATGCCAATCTTTGTAAGTTTCAGTCATTTTCTCTAGGATTCTCTTGATATTCTTATTTGCAGCCTCCACTGCCCCATTCATTTTTGGACGATATGGTGTCGAATTACGATGGCGAATCTTAAACTGAGTGCATACTTCATTCATCATTTTGTTGTTCAACTTTTTGGCATTATCAGAAATAATTGTCTCCGAAAGCCCATATCTGCATATTATCTCTCTTTTTATGAACTTACATACCACAGATCGGGTCACGCTAGCATATGATGCAGCCTCTACCCATTTGGTGAAGTAATCAATCATCACAAAAATGAATCTATGCCCGTTCGAAGCTTTTGGAGTGATGGGACCAATGACATCCATACCCCACATTGAGAATGGCCAGGGAGGAGCTAGAACGTGTAATGTTGATGGTGGAGCATGAATCTTGTCAGCATAAATCTAACATTTATGACATCTCCTAGCATAATCAATACAGTCACTCTCCATTGTCAACCAATAATAGCCAGCCCTCATAATTTGTCTAACCATCATATGACCATTTGCATGTGCCCCACAAACTCCATCATGCACTTCTTCAATAATCTTCTTTGCTTCAGCTGCATTTACACATCTTAAGAGCACTTGATCTCGACCTCTTTTGTAAAGGATATCTCCATTAATGAAGAAACTCATAGCCAATCTTCTGATAGTCCTCTTATCATTTTTAGTTGCATGTTTTGGGTATTGCTGGCTTTTAATGTATTGCATGATATCATGATACCATGGCTTCCCATCAACTTCTTTTTCAACACCTGAGCAATGTGCTGGTACATCTTTCACATCCAGCTTGATGGGTTGGATTTCAGTACTTGCATCTATTTTGATCATTGCAGCTAGAGTAGCCAGTGCATCAGCAATTTGGTTTTCCTCTCTAGGTAGATGCTCAAACTGAACTTCTTTAAATTGCTTAACCAACTCAGAGATGTATTTATGGTACCGAATCAACTTAGAGTCTCTTGTTTCCCATTCACCTCGTAACTGATAGATGACTAAAGCTGAATCTTCAAACACATCTAACACTTTGATCTTCTTTTTAATTGTTGTTTGTAGACCCATAACACAGGCCTCATATTCAGCCACATTGTTTGTGTAATTAAAATTTAATCTGGCTGTGATGGGGTAATAATGTCCATCAAGAGATATCAAAATTGCCCCAATACCATGACCCAAAGCATTAGTAGCTCCATCAAAATACATCCTTCATGATTTTTCAACAGGTTCATTTTCTTCAATGGCCATCACATCCTCATCAGGAAAATCTAATTTCATTGGCTCATAATCTTCAACTGCACGATCAGCTAGAAATTCAGCTATTGCACTCCCTTTAATAGCTTTTTGAGTCACGTAAATGATATCATATTCTGAAAGCATAACTTGCCACCGTGCTATTCTTCCTGTCAATGAGGGCTTTTCGAAGATATACTTAATAGGATCCAGCTTTGCTATGAGCCAAGTAGTGTGATAAAGCATGTATTGTCTAAGCCTTCGAGCTGTCCAGGTTAATGCACAACACATCTTCTCTAATGGTGAATACTTTGACTCATAATCAGTGAACTTCTTGCTCAAGTAGTAAATTGCTCGTTCTTTCTTATCAGTTTCATCTCTTTGCCCCAGCACACATCCCATTGAATTTTCATGCACTGTCAAGTACAAAATCAAAGGTTTTCCTGGCATTGGTGGCACTAACACAGGTGGATTTGACAAGTATTCTTTGATCTTATCAAAAGCTTCTTGGCATTCATCATTCCATTCTCCAGGATCATGTTTTCTGAGAAGCTTGAAAATAGGATCACACTTATAAGTGAGTTGAGAGATGAAGCGAGCAATATAATTTAATCTCCCTAAGAAGCCTCGCACTTCTTTTGAGGTATGAGGAGGGGATAAGTTTTGGATGGCTTGTATCTTATCTGGATCAACTTCAATTTCTTTTTCACTGACTACAAAGCCTAATAGTTTTCCTGATTTGGCTCCAAATGTACATTTGGCAGGATTCAACTTCAACTGAAATCTTCTCAACCTGTCGAATAGCTTTTTGAGACTGACTATATGATCCTCTCCTTCACGAGATTTTGCAATCATATCATCTACATACACTTCTATCTCTTTATGTATCATGTCATGAAAAAGAGTCACCATTGCTCTTTGATAAGTAGCACCAGCATTTTTTAACCCAAAAGGCATGACTTTGTAACAGAATGTTCCCCACATGGTCACAAATGTAGTTTTCTCCATATCATCTCGAGCCATCTTGATCTGATTATAGCCTGAGAAACCATCCATAAAGGAAAATGTAGAGTGCCTAGCAGTATTATCCACTAGAGTATCGATGTGAGGTAAAGGAAAGTTATCCTTAGGGCTTGCTCTATTCAAATCTCGATAATCGACACACATTCTCACTTTTCCATCCTTCTTAGGAACTGGCACTATGTTGGCTACCCATTCAGGATATTTTGCCACTTCCAAAAATCTGGCATCGAATTGTTTCTTCACTTTCTCTTTAATTTTTAGCAGCATCTCTGGTTTCATGCGCCTTAGCTTTTGCTGCATCGACTTACATCCTGGTTTTAAAGGTAACTTGTGCTCTACAATATCAGTGCTGAGTCCTGGCATATCCTGGTAAGTCCATGCGAACACATCTACATATTCTCGGAGCAGCTCTTCTAGCTCCTGTCTTTCAGCTGATAAAAGAGATGTACCAACTTTGACCTCTCTTTTATTCTCACCATCTCCCAAATTTACTGATTCAGTAATTTCTTGGTGGGGTTCAATTGGCTTATCTTCATGTTCTATTAATTTTAACAAATCAAGAGGCAGTGTATAGTTATCTGAATCTTCCTCATTATCAAGTTCATCAACATGAATTAAGTTTTCAAAATCAAATCCGAGATTAATGCCATGATTATCCTCATGTTCATTGTTTGAGACCCTGCAAAGGGTAATATGGAGAGAATATTGGCACACAAAAATGGAATGGCAAGAAAATGTAGGAAAGAAAAGGATGAAAGGTAAAATGAAGATAAAAACAACAGAAAAAATACGGATGCATCTTCTAAGTCTTTTATTAAAATGACAAACATAAACACACCATAAAAGATCTCCTAATACTCGTAGAATGTAATTAGGGATTTAAAGTTTCACATTACTTTTCCAAAGTTTTAAAAACAACAGGCAGCTCTGTAACTTCCCAATTATCCAGCTTAAAATCTAAAGGACAAGGGTACACGAATAGATCTTCACTTCGACTCTTCTTTTCTCCATCATCCACCATTTGAATGGCCAGCTCTGAAAATTTTTCCATGAATCCTGCACTTGGGGCTCCCGGTAAATCTGGATAAATATATCCTCCCGAGTGAAAAGAATTATAGAGGTATGGAATGACTATCGGCTCTGACTCCAGCTCATATCCCTTAAGATTAGCTATCCTCTTATCTCTTTTCTCATTCACCATTCTTACTCTGTCCCCTCTTGTTGGCTTATATCCCAAGCCAAACCTGTCTCTCTTTTCATATATGGCCGATGGCTTCGTGATTCCTTGCAGGTTCTTCCCAAGTCTGACTTCAGGTCGCCATCCCATCTTGGTAAGCTGTCTGACTACCATTTTAGTAGTCGTAGATAAGTGTGGCGAATACAATTTAGATCCTCCAGCTATATATGTTGCATTGGCAATCTCGAAGGATCTATAAGAGCATTCTAAAGCTTCATCTGCCGATTCCACATAAGGAGTATTTATCGTTGAGTTACCAATAAATCTTCTTCTCCTGCCACACATGTTAGCTTTCCTTCAACAATGAATTTGACTTTCTGATGTAATGAGGATGGGACAGCACCTGCCATATGGATCCACGGTCTACCCAATAGACAACTATATGAAGGAGAGATGTCCATGACTTGAAATTTCACGTTGAAAGTACATGGACCAATCTGCAATGGCACTTCTATATCTCCCAGCACTTCTCTTCTGGTTCCATCAAAGGCTCTCACTATCATATGACTAGGTTTCATATAAGATCCATTAACAGGGAGTTTTGCCAGAGTAGTTGCAGGCATAACATTGATGGATGAGCCATTATCAATCAAAACCTTAGCCATTATATGACTTTTACATTTCACAGTAATGTGAAGAGCCCTGGTACTTCCTCTACCCTCAGGAGAAATTTTTTCATCATTGAAAAAAATATAGTTTGAAATCGTCAGATTGCCAACAAGCTGTTCCACATATTCAACAGAAGCATTGTGAGACACATATGCTTGATTTAGCACCTTCAGCAAAGCATTACGGTGTGACTCTGAATTGAGCAATAATGACAATAGCAAAATTCTAGCTGGCATCTTGTTAAGCTGTTCTACCACGCTATACTCACTATGTTTTATTAACTTCAAAAATTCACCTACTTCACTCTCAGATACTGGCTTCTGACATTCTTTTTCTGGTGTTGCATCAAGATCACTCTGACTTTTATTTTCTTCCCCTACCTTGGCTTTCTCCTTTCTAGCTTTTTCTAGAGCCTCTGGGGTATAGCACCTGCCACTTCGGGTTATGCCTCCTACACCCGTTATGTTGGCAGTATCTGGGTTGACTACGACATCATAATCGTACTTCCAAGGTACTGCTTTATCATTCTGATATGGAAAAGGGCCAGGAACTTTAATTGTCACCACTGGTCGAGAGACGGGTTTTTCTAGCTTCGATGTTGGCTTCTCATCATAATAGATAGTTACTGGTCTACGCCCAAACTTATTCTTTGAATCAATGGTAGACACTTTCACCAACTCTTCTCTCTCTTGGTAAAACTCTATTCGACCTTCATCCATCAATTTTTGCACCTCTTGACGAAATTGGTGACAATTCTCGATAGAATGCCCCAGAGCACCTTTGTGATAATGGCAGCTTTCAGTTGAGTTAACCGCTTCAGAGTAATTTTGAGGTTCTATCGACTTTAGCATGTCAGCTTTGACCACGGTTTCAAACACTTTAGCCATAGGAGTTTTGACCTCTTCTATTCTTCTTTTCACACAACTTGTTTGCCCATCAATCAAAGCATTTATTGATGGTCTGGTATGATTTGGTAGAGGGTTCCCATTGACATTTGGAGTCCCTTGTTGGCTGGTATCAAAATTTAATACTCCTTCATTGATTAACCCCTGCACTTTATGCTTCAAAGCAGTACAATGCTCAGTGGAATGACCTGGATTCCCATAATGATAATCACAATATGCATTGGGGTCATACCATTTGGGAAACGGAGGTTTCAAAGGTTCAATAATAACAGGAGCAAGTAGATGTTTCTCAACAAGTCGAGGATACAAATCTGTGTATGGCATGGGAATTGGGTCAAAATGAGGTCTTTCTCGATTGTTATTATTCTGTGAGTTTCTTTGATTGCTGTTTGGGTAGGTTGGTCGAGTAAATGGTCGAGCTGGAGGTGTCGGGGTGTAATTGGATGGTTGAGGGCTAAAATTTGATCTGGGTAACGGTTGTTGGGGGGCCCGATAATGGTATGGTTGTTGAGAGATTTGGTTTATGGTAGAGTAGTAATGGGGGTGTGGGTTATATGAAACAAAAGGATGGTGTGGGGGATTTGTGTGAGTGACAACATGTGTCTCCTGCTCTTTCTTCCTTAAGGTAGCTATCTTCTTTTCAGACCCTTCAATTTTACCACTTTTGATAGCGTTTTCTATCATCTCCCCTGAAATTACCATGTCAGAGAAGTTTTTCGTGGCATTTCCCACCAATCTGTCATAATACGGGGCCTTCAGTGTATTGACGAATAGCACGGTTATCTCTTTTTCAGTCAGTGGTGGTTGTACTTGGGCTGCTGCATCTCTCCACCGATGTGCGTATTCTTTGAAGGTTTTCGTCGACTTTTTCTCCATATTTTGTAATGACAGTCTATCAGGGGCTGTATCCAAGACGTGCTTATACTGAGCAAGAAAAACTTTGGCCAAGTTTTTCCATGAACTGATCTTATTTCGATCTAATTGCACGTACCATTTAGCTGCTGAACCAGTCAAACTATCCTGAAAATAGTGTATCAATAGTTTGTCATTATGGGTATGACCCATCATCTTTCTACAAAACATGGTGATATGAGCAGATGGACACTTTGTCCCATCGTATTTCTCGAAATCTGGGGTCTTAAATTTTGGTGGGATAACCAAGTCAGGCACTAGGCTAAGCTCGTTGGCGTCAATAACCCCATAAGTGTCATTACCTTCAACCGCTTTAAGCCTCTCTTCAAGCTGGTCATACTTGTCTTGAATTTTTGAATTTATAACAGGTTCTGACATTTCGTGAGATTTCTCTTGCTCAACAGGGTCGTCAAGATTTGGTACCATGATGGGATCGACTGGGATGGGTCCCGAATTGGCATTCAAGTGGGTCGGCTGCTGATTTGCAGAATGATTGACATAGGGGTATGGCTGCGCACTTGGTGGTTGTATGTGTATACCCCGAGGAACTTGAACCTGAACTTGAGGTGGAGTGAATCCAGGAGGGTATAATGGCTCTTCCACATTAACCTCATCTCCTGTCCTTGATACACCAGCGACTCATTTTCCTTTCATTGATCCAATCAACAGTTGTCTTAATTTAGCCATTTGTGCTTCAATTCTTTGTTGTATTTCCATCACTCTTTCTTGTATCTCCTCTGTACCCTTTCGACCCTTTCAAACCTAGCTGTATTCTCTTCTTCCATGGCTCGAGTCTGGGAACGAGTATTATATCTATGCGAAATTGACGAGTTGTGGTTCCTTGGCTTTGCTATCCTTGAACCTTAGTTTATTAACCATGAATTAGATCGCATGATATAATGTCGTTGATATTATTGTTAGTATGAAAATGCATGCATGAAATGAATGAAATGCAAATTAGGGTATTGTCTTAGATCGATCGAAACAAAAAGAAACTTTCATTAACCATGGGAGTCTTTACACATCATCCAATCATTCTCGCATTAAAGCCATAAAAACATTTGATTTGAGCATATTGCTCCCTAGCTTCATGCAAAAAGTGCAATAATCTTTGACTGTGGCCTTTGGTTGGTACAATCTCTCGTTCCAGTGCTTTCGCCTTTTCAACCATGTTGCCTGCTTTTCGAACAGCCTTGTAGATTTGAGCAGTCAGGTGTTCGATGTATTGCTGTCTCCCTAAACTTTCTGCTCTCCACATCTCTCGAGCATCTACCTCCATATTACAAGTGCGAGCCCAATAATCTTCTCTATCTTGCCACTCAGTCAAAATCTCATTTATGTGCCTCTGATTGCTTGTCAATTGAAGCTCCAAACTCATTAATTCATGCTCTAAGGCTTTTTTCTTGCTTTGCAAATCGGAGTTCTTGCTTTGTTCCCTCATTAGCTCAGCTTTTAGCTTTTCACTTTCTCTTTGGTGCCTTGTTACCTTTTCAGAGGCTCCTGAAAGTTTTTCTTTCCATTCATGTTGCTCTTTGGTGAGTGTGGAGATCATTTCTTTGTTCTCTCGAGCTCTGTTCTTCCAATATTCCACCATGTCCCGTAGTTCTTCCACATCCTTCTTGGATCCCTTCAAAGGTCTACTATCCAACCTTAATTTCTTATTTTCTTGATGCAGATCTTGCAGATCCTCTTTCAATACTTTTCGTTCTTTAGTCAACTTCTGTACTGCATCATTTTTCATCATCAAATCATATCTTAGTTGGTTAACCTGATCCATCATAGCCACTTTTCTTTCTCTAACCTTTTCTTTTCAATCTCAAACTCTCGTTGAGCGATCTCAAGAGTCGACAATACCGATACTGAAACAGGAGCCGATAACTTCTCTGAAACATCAGCTGGTAGAGGCCTAATTTCGTTAACTCTTTTCATCCTCCACGCAAGGTAACCTTCAGCAACATTATCTGTGAGTCTAGCTGGGCTCATTCGGTTGACCTGCTTCCATGCTTTGATGATTTCACGAACCCTTTTCATATAACCGGGTGTTCCATAATCAAACTCGAGTGAACCAAGCCTATGAGTCATAGGGATGAACTGTCGTGAATCATATTGTCTTTGAACCATAAGGGGTGCGTAACTCACTGCCCCCATATTCCTAACAGAGGTACCCATGACTCGTCTCCACAACTATATAAGATAGCCATCGAAAGCATCCATGGTGCCCTCCATGTTACATCTTCGCTAGTGAGCTTTAAAAAGAATGCCAACCACTGACCTTTTGTCCAATCTTTTCTCCATTCTTTAGTCATAAACTCCTTGATAGGACTGAAATGCACGGAGAATGGTCGAAATGATGTCTTCTCTTTTCCCCAAAAATGGCTTCTGAGCCAGACAAACAGTAACTGAGCACACCCCATAAATCGTCCTTCACCCTTTCTTCGACAAAAATTAAGTGATCTAATAGTTTCTGCCAAAATAGTTGGTGAAGGGTTTATACCTTTATCTAATTGCTCAAAGAAATCAACCACTGATGCTTCTATATGTCCTAAAACCTTAGGAAATATCATCAATCCATAGATGGCCAAAGCAAACACATCCAACCCCTGATCGGTATCAATATACTTTCTTATGTACTCGAGCAGAAAAGCTGATGGAATGGTCTCAACCCTATTTTTTTCTTTCTTGTGCTTGTCTATCTCTTCAACCTCCACTTGCATGATCTTGGCTAATTTTTTTCTATATCCGGTGGTCTTATGCTCTTTCCAATAGATCTTGTCTTGATTGGTAGACTCTATCCGAAGTAAAGAAGAATATTCTTCGATCGTGGGAGCCAAGTCTTCTTGGTTGAATACAAAGCATCGATAAGATGGATCCCAAAACTGTATTACGGCTCTCATTAGCTGTTCATCAACCTTCACAGACATAAGCAGTGCCACATCCCCGTATTTCTTGGAAAAAGATTCTTTTTTCTCTATTCTCCACTGTTTCCAAATGGCTTCCAATTCTGATATATTATTCTGACTGAGATCCATATGCACTGACTGTGGTAGCACCGATATATGACCATCTACTAAGCAATCTCCTTCTTTCCCCTGAGTACCTTCTGAATGGCTCTTGACCTCTAAGTAGCTCTTACACACAGACGACATCCTTTAGGTTTTTTTGAAAGTTTTTTTTTTGTTGAAGATTGGTCCAAAACAATACCCTCTAAAAATATGGTACCTATATGATGCATGCAACAAAATTGAAGACAATAAAACAAATCAAGAATGTAAATAAAACAAATAAATAAAACTGAGTAAATGAATGAACAAGCATATCAGAATATACGTAGTGTCCTAATTTAGATAATTTTCTCGTAAAAGGGACAGTATGGCTCTATCCTAAAGTTGGACTTCAGGGTTCACTATATGCCGGGTTAAGATTTACATGTCTAAAGGTTCCCAGACTATTCCTCACATCATCGTCCATTATAGACTAGTAAGGCTCCCCGATCCTCACCCATTACAGGCTACTAACAGAACGGGTTCAATTTGAGTGGAAGTGTTTCGCTAGCAAATGCAGAGGTTATCACCTCACGAGAGCGTAGCTACTTCACTTCCTCCTAAAAGGATGGAGCCCGGGTATAGAGCTCATGTATGCGAGTGAATATGCAAAGTGTGTGCAAGGTAATGTATTAATCAAAATAACATGAATAAATCAAAAACAAAATCAAAATGAAGTAATAACTAGCACATAATTTATTTCATTTATTAACATGACTGTTTTCAGAAAAATAAAATAAAAGAAATTAAATTAAATATCAAATAAAATCAATTAAATCCAACCGTTGTCAATAGCACATAATTAAAATTTTGGCCTGACTCTCAAATAAGTCCCCAGTGGAGTCGCCAAGCTGTCGTAACGATTTTGGGACCGTCAGACGTAAAAATGAGTTTTTGTTTTAAAAAAGGGGGAAAATAAAAAGAGGGAGTCGCCACCAATCTTTGTTAGGGTGTGATTGGCCACCCAAAAGTTTATCTTTTTAATAAAACTATAAAAACGAGTTTAGAGTTTATCAAAAAGATAAATTTTGGTCTGCGAAAAATCAGGTTGGGTCCGAGAGTCGGTTACGTGTGGGGAAGGATTAGCACCCCCACAATGCCCATAAATTGGTACCATTTAATTATGCGCTATTTTCGACGTTGGATAAAAATTGTTTTAATTTGAAATTTAACATTAATTTCCTTATTTAAAAAATATTTTTTGCTAAAATTTTTATTTAGGAATATTGAGAAAATCTTTAAGTTAAAGAATTATCTTAAAATTCTCCAACATCTAGGCAGAATTTAAAGTAACCCTTTTCGCTTAAGATTTAACACAACAATCCTTAAAATGAAATAACACTCTTTATAGAGAATTGTTGATGACTCTCCAACATCTAGGCAGAGTACCAAGAATTATTTCTTTTGGAATGTTATTTTTATTTTATTTTGTAATGTTTCAAAAAGATTTTTTTTAGTATTATTTTTTATTAAAAAATATTTTATCAGTAAATTTAAGAGAGAGTAATGCAATCAATTATTGATGACAACATGCTAACGTATATCATGCTAATGAATGTCATGTAAAATGAAATGCAATTTAAGAGTTGGAGTCTTAAATATAATGAGACCACCCCGACTCTCTAACATCTAGGCAGAGCTTAGGTGGGACTGTTTATATTTAAGATCCCAATCTTATTAATCTTATTATTAATACGAATTAAGAAATCGTGTGAAAAGACTTCACGAAGTAAAATTTCCTAAATACCCCATCATCTAGGCGGCATTCGGGAACAAATTGCTTCAAATAGAATTTTCACGTGTCCTTAGGATTTTTTTTAGGACTTTGGATTTCAAGGATTTTGGATTTCGGGGGGTTTTGGATTTAATGGATTAGGAAATAGTGCTTAAGGTTTCAAACATCTCTAAAAATCCCCACCATCTAGGCAGATTTTTTAAGCAAGTTCGATTTTAATAATTTTTGAAGATTAATTAAAAATTTCTTATGTTTATTTATGAAAAATAATTAACAATAATTCCCCAACATCTAGGCGGAATTATTGTTTTAGAAAAATATTTTTATTCCCTCCAACATCTAGGCAGGGAAGATTATTATTATTATTTTTTAAAGCATTTTAATATATTTTTTATTATTATTTGTTCTTAATTTTATTATTATTAAAACGATTAAACATTTATTCTAACAAATTTATAAATTTATCATGCATAAATATAAAAATATATTTAAAATAACAAAAAATAATAAAATAACCGGTTCAAATCCATCACTGGCGATTCGTATGAACCGGTTCAAGCTTGGTTGGAACGTCGTTGGTTAGGTTACTGGAATCTGGGTCGGGTTTGGGTCAACGCGCAGACCTCTTTTGTTAAAAGGCGTCATTTTGGGTTTTATTGAAATGACGTCATTTGGCTATTGATAATTTATATAAAAGTCAAAAAAAAAAATTTCGTCATTTTTTTAATCTTTCAAAAAAAAAAATAGCTTTCTCTCTTTTTTTTTTTCGTTTCCTTTTTTTTTCTCTCTAGCCAACACAGGTGGATCGGTCGATCTTCCGTCGCTGTGCCGCGGTCGTCGTCGGCGATCGCTGTGACGGTTCGAAAAATTTTCGAAAACACCAAAATTTCCCTCGACCTCCTGAGTTTGGATTTGAGGTCCC